CCAGAGGCCCCGCCCGTCGAGCGGAGCGCGCGCGCGCGGCGGCGGCCAATGAGGGCGATGGGCGTGGTCACCGCCCGGCCCCGCCCCGCCCCGCGCAGCCGCCGCCGCCGCCCCGGCCCGGCCCGGCCCCGCTCCGCCTTTGTCCCCGCTCCGCCGCCGCCGCCTTTGTCCCCGCCATGGGGCTGCCGCGCCGCTGAGCGCCGCCGGTGAGTGCGAGCCGCCCCGCTCCGGCCCGGCCCGGTGGGCGCTGACCTCACTTCCGCATCCGCCCCCGGCCCGGAGCCGCCGCGGCCCGGTCAGGTGAGGCCCGGGCTTGGCGGCGGGGCCCGGCGCGGCCTAGGACAGAGCGGCGCGGCCTAGCGGGCCTGGGGCGGCCTAGTGGGGCGGGGGCGGGCGGCGCCGCGTGGAAGCTGACGGTTTCCCCCCTCCCCCCTCCCGTTTCCCTTCTCCCTCCTTCGCAGAGCCGGGCGCGGAGCGCGTGGATGCGCCGCCCGCCGCCCCCGCCCCCGGCATGACCTCGGGCAGCGGCAGCGCTGCCTCCACCGTCGCCGGCGCCGCCCCGCACAATGGTGAGAACAAACCGCCGCAGGCCGTGGTGAAGCCGCAGATCCTCACGCACGTGATCGAGGGCTTCGTCATCCAGGAGGGCGCCGAGCCCTTCCCGGTACGTCCGTCCCCCCTCCCTCGCCCCCTCCATCCCTAACGCAACGCGCTCCCCCCTCCCCCCTGCCCTTCCCGGCCGTTCCCGGCCCCGCTGACGCCACCACGGCACGCAGGTGGGCCGCTCCTCGCTGCTGGTGGGGGGCCTGAAGCCGCAGTATGCACAGGAGCTGCTGGCAGAGCGCGCCCCGCAGCACGACAACACCACAACCACCGACTCTGAGATGGAGGAGCCCTACCTGCAAGGTGAGGGGGCACCCCGAGGTGGGAGCCCCGCGAGGACTCTGTCCCGCCTCGGCTCAGCCACCCACTGCTCTCTCGGCAGTGTCCAAAGAGGAGGGGGCTCCCCCGAAGCTGAAGTGTGAGCTGTGCGGCCGCGTCGACTTCGCCTACAAGTTCAAGCGCTCCAAGCGTTTCTGCTCCATGGCATGTGCCAAGAGGTACTGGGCTCCGGCCCCCCGCGCCCCTCCCCGGCCCCACTCTCACCCCCCCACCCACCCCTTCACTGCTGCCTGCAGGTACAACGTGGGTTGCACGAAGCGCGTGGGGCTGTTCCACCCCGACCGCAACAAGCTGCAGAAGCCGGGAGGGCCCCCCCACAGCCGCCGCCGCACCTGCAAAATGCCCACGCTCAGCAAGGACACCAAGAAGCAGGTGAGGGGGGGGTATGGGTCCGACCCCAGGGGTGCAGTGAGCCGCGGGGCCAGTGCTGCCCGGTGGCTCCGTCCCGCAGACGCCGGTGTCCCTCCCGCCGGGCTCGGGGCCGCTCTCGGTGACGGCGTCGCTGCAGCTCAACCACAGCCAGGAGGACTCGAGCCGCTGCTCGGACAACTCAAGCTACGAGGAGCCGCTGTCGCCCATCTCGGCCAGCTCGTCCACCTCCCGCCGGCGCCAGGCTGAGCGTGACCTGGAGCTGCACGACATGGAGCTGCGTGACATGGAGCTGCCCGATATGCACGTGCGGGAGCTGGCGGGCATCGGGCACCGCTTCCTGCCCAGCGAGCCCAGCAAGTGGAACGTGGAGGATGTCTACGAGTTCATCCGCTCACTGCCGGGTGAGGGGTGTCGAGGGATGAGGGCCCTGTTGGCTTTGGGGCTGTGCTGAGTGACTGTGCTGTGTTCCTCCCCCCCACCCTGTAGGCTGCCAGGAGATCGCAGAGGAGTTCCGTGCCCAGGAGATTGATGGGCAGGCGCTGCTGCTGCTGAAGGAGGATCACCTGATGAGCACCATGAACATCAAACTGGGGCCAGCCCTCAAGATCTACGCCCGTATCAGCATGCTCAAGGACTCCTAGAGCCGCACCGTCGGCTCGCATGGACGCTCCCACCGGGTGTGGAGGGGGGGGACAGACCCAAGCCCCCCTCTCAACCCTGCCTGTCCTGGTTGGGGGGGGGGGGGGAACCTATCACTGAGCACAAACAGCCCCGGGGCAGCCCCCCCTCGGCTGCAGGGTGTGTACATATAACCCGTAGCGATAGTGGCCCCACTGTGGCAGGGAGCCCCCCCGGCACGGCGGGGCACAGCAGGATGGTTGCCTTAATGCGTGGCCCCGCAGGGGCCCGGCTGCCCACCCTGGGGTGGGGGGAGGGTGTGGGGGTGCCTACAGAGATGGCACTGCCCCCAGCAGGGCTGCTCCAGGGGCACCTCAGTAAAGGATGGAGGTGGTGGGGGCTTGATACCCCCAGCAGGTAAGGACCCCCCCCCTCAGCCCCCCCCGCTACCGTCAGCCGCCACGGTCTTTCTAAAAAAAGTAGAAAAAAATAAAAAAAAAAAAAAAAAAAAAGGAAAAAAACACAGAAACCACAACCCTTTTTTTCCCCTGTTTTTGTTTCTAATAAACACTGAAAAAAAAAAACTGACCCCCCCGTACTTTGCCTCCTCCTCACACGCACCCCCCCATCCCCTTGGGGTAAACTGAGGGGTCCTGGCTTTGTGTCACCTTCCACCCCCACCCCCCACAGTGGGACAGCCCTATCACACGCTTGGCTGCTGGTGGCCGCCCTGGGGGGGCACTGCTACCACTGGGACCTTTGGTTCCCTTTGTGCCCCCCCCTTGCCCCACATCCCTGCTGGCACCCTGAACCCAATAGGCATCCAGAGGTGAGGCTGAGGAGCAGTGAGGTCCCCGTGCCCAGTGCTGTGTCTGGCTGGGGGGGCCCAAAGGCTTTGTGGGGGAGGTCGGGGATGGTATCCCTAGAGCCTGTGGCTGCAATGGGGAGGAGGCCCTGGAGCTGGTGGCTGTGGCAGTGATGCGTCCCTGGAGGTGGTGGCTCTGTGCCCTGCTGCTCACATCCACGTTGCCCCAGCAGTGCCAGCTCTTCCAGAGAGCAGAGCAGCTCCCAGCACAGCAGAGCAGCTGCCTTCCCCACCGCTTCATCATCCACCATCCCCACATCGAGGGGATTTTTGTGGACCCCCCCCTCCCCCAGGTTCCTCCTTTGTCACCACGCCGCCCCGTGCCCCCATCCCCGCAGCAGTGACACCACACACAGCCCATCGTTTGTTTCCTTTCCTTTTATTCTTTCTTTTTTCTGCTCCAAAACGGGCGCTGCTTTGCGGAGGGCCGCGGGGGTCCCCACTGTTTCCAACTGCCCGCAAAAATGCTCCGTGTGGCCACGGCCTCCCCCTTCTCCATTGTGGCTTCTCCATGAGCCACAATGCAAGACTGGGGGGGGGGGGGGGGGGGGGGCGGGAATAGGGAAAGAAGTGGGGGAGGGGTGTGTTGTTTTTTTTTTTTCTTTTTCTCCTTTTTTAATAAGGTAATTGCTAGCTCTAGGGACACGTGGCCTGGATTTCCATCGAGGAAAATTAAAAAAAAGGGCCCCAAACGGGGCGGGGGGGGGGGGGGGCCGGGGAGGGAGGCATTAACAGTGTGTATAAGAGGCGTATTTACATGGTATTAACATGCTGACAAAAAAGGTTACAATATTGAGTATCGTACAACACCGAGGGGAAACGAGGAGCCAAGGGGTGGATGGATGAATGAGGGGGGGGTAAAAGGTGAGGGTGGGGGGGTGGAAAGGCTGTGGGAAGTCAAATTAATAAACAGAAGGTAATAAACACCCTGGCAAAACAATGAGTTAAGGCTTAAAAAGTGTATAAAAAAATAACACAGTTAATATCCAAAACGGAACCAAAGAGTACATAATATAGATGAGTTTCTGTCGAGTCTCTCCGGGGCGCGGGGCCCCCGGCTCTGTACACGGGGCTATGTACACACAGAGGCACGCGCACCCCCCGCTGCTCCCGGAGTCCAGCGTGGGGGGGAGCGAAACCAGAGGGGAAAACGTCTTTAAAAATCAAACGCAACCCACGCGGAGCAGCTC